GGCGGGGGGTGTGTGGATGGGCTGACCGGCGTCATGAGTGCAGTTGTCCTGGTTGAGCTGCTGCACGAGCGCCGTGCCGTTGCCACTGCCGTTGGCCGCCTCGGTGACCAGGGCCGGCTGCTGCTGCTGCTGCTGTGCTGCCTGCATCTGCTGCTGGTGCAGCTGCTGCTTGGCCTTCTCCTGCTCAGCTTTGGCCTCCTGCACAGCACGGCGCTTCTCGCGCTCCTTCTGGATCTTATGGTTCAACTCCTGCAGACACACACACATACACACACACATCGACACATATCAACACACAGAGAGAATGGGTGTGTGTGGTCTGAGAGTGCGTGCGTACTTCCAGGGCCTTGGTGTGTCGCTCTCTGTACTCGTCGGCCCGCTGCTCGAGTTCTTTCTTCTGCTGCTCGACGAGCTGGCTCCTGGGCTGCCAGGTGTTGTCGCCGATGTGGCTGGGGTCTTCGTGCTTGCACTTGACCAGGTGGCAGAAGTAGTGGAACAGCGGGCCCTGCCAAGAGCAATCGGCGTGCCGACACCCTGACACGGCAACACACAAGACAGACAGACAGACAGACAGAGACAGAGACAGAGAGAATGACAGACGAGATGCACACGTGTGTGTGTGGGGGGGGGAGGGGGGGTCGGTGTCTGTCGTGCGTCCTTCCTTACTGATTTCGAGTTCTCGGTATACTTTCCAATACTCGCCGCGCAGGCCGGTGGACTGCGGGCTGAGCAGCTCCATGTCTGTCTCTTTGCTCAAATCCTCCTTGCAAAACGGACAAGGAGCGCTCTTCTTACCTAAACACACCACACAACCACACAGCACAGCCATCCACACGCCGCCCCTTGCAACCGTGTGTGTGTGTGTGATGTGTGTTCGTTCGTACGTCCTTGTCTGGCGACGTCAGCCCAGGCCCGGACTTCGACCGAGTTGCACTGTTTGTCGAACCACGTGTCGAGGCAGTCGGCGCAGAACAGGTGGAGGCAGCGCGTGAGCTTGGGGCGGAAGGCCAGCGAGTTGCAGATGACGCAGTGGAAGAGGTCGGAGGCGTCCTTGAGCAGCAGGGCCTCGGGGTCGATCTTGGAGGCCTCCTCGCTGATGCCGTACTCCTTCAACTTGCCCTTCTCCAACAACTGGTCCAAGTACTGCAGACAGACATCGATTGATTCCACACAGACAGTGGCAGAGAGAGAAGGAAGCGTGTGTTGTGGGCGTGTTGTGGTGGGTGTGGTTGTCTTACGGGTGGCGGCTTAGAGGGATGCTCGTTGTGCGAGGCGGGGCCGCCGCCACCGGTATTATCAACAGAGCTACCAGCAACTGCACAACACACACCACACACAGTACCACACACACCACACACGGTGGACAGACAGACAGGCATACAGACGTGCAGACGTGTGTGTGTGTGTGTGTGTTCCTCCCCTCTCTCTGCTCACTTCTTTTGATGGTCAGCATTACGGCGTCAGTATGGCTGTCACGATGCGAGTCGACCTCCTGCACACAAACCACACACAACACACACACACGACACGCCATGAGTGCAGCCCGTCCCGCCTATGTGTGTGTGTGTGTGTGGACGTGCTCCTCCCCCCCTCTGTCTGTGTGGTGTGGCATGTTGTTGTTTCCTGTCTGCCTTACGGGTATAGAGTAGACGAGCTGCGAGAGTTTCTCAAACCCAAACTCACGAGCCTCTAGATCCGTACTATACTCCTCCCTGACACACACCATGACCACACACACCACACCACCACACACAGTTGACACATTTGCCGGCCGCATGACGTGTTGTGTGTATTGTGTGTGCTGTGTGTGCTGTGGTGCTGACCTCCATATGTTCCTTAGCATAGCGAGGTTCATCCCGGGTGGTGGTGCCTTGCGAATCAGCGCCACCACCTTGCGGTGTACATCCGATGGCAGCGAAGCCTTGCGGTGGTCCTGAGGAGAGGAAGGGACCAACACACCACACACCACACACACGAGAGCCTCGATTGCCGTCTGTTGTGTGTGGTGTGTTGGTGCAGGCAGGTGTGTGCCTCTTACATAGTCAGGAGCAGCATGGTGGCGGTGGTGGTGTGACCCCGGTCTCATGAGGTCCTTCGGGCCGTGGGCGTACGTGCAGTCCTTGCCCTTAGTGCACTGACCCTGCACAACACAACACACCCCACACAACACACACCCGTCAACACGTCAACACACCACACGTCGTCCAGCCCACCCATACCATACACATGACATACGTCTCTCGCCCCCCTGTGAAAGGAGTTACCTTCTGGTGGAACGTGCAGACCTGGGTCTTGTAGTTGTGCGGTGTCTGCATCTCACAGAGAGAGAGGAAGCCGCTCGGGTGGTCAGACAGGCTCGAGTACGGACGCTCTCGCCTGCCGCTGATGCCAGTCAGGTGTCGAGGAGCCCTCCTGAGGCCGGGAGGCTCCTAGCGATGACACAAACCCTGGAGGGATGGGCGAACGAGCCAGCGGGGGGACGTGGCCGAGGTCGGGCAGCCACACGGGGGGTGCTTAATGCGCTGGGAGGGAAGAAAGGTGAGAATTCGCGCGAGAAGTCAACGACGTGTCAGCCGCCAGTCGAGAACTTCAAGCTCGTTGGGGGCTGCTGGGGGCTTCGAGAATTGAGACGGAGAGGTGTCTTCAGATCTGCCCGTATCTCTGCGTATGCTGTGTGTGTGTGTGCGTGTTGGTGCTGTGGAGGAGCGGCTGTTTTCCGCTTCTTTGCGTTACGAGTCATGGCCAAGGCAGGCGTGTGCACAGCTCTCGCTGTGCAATCAATCAGGTACATGTTGTGTCTGTCTGTGCTGTGTCAGATGCTCTCTTAAGTTTCTCTCTCTACTCGTAAGTTGCACAGGCAGCACACACTGTCAGCACACTGGTCGGTCACTCACACATACAAGAGTTCACTCAGGTCACTTGGGTGGGGATGAGTCTGATCATGACGATGGACACGTTGTCCTGCGATTTCTTGTCGAGCAACACGTACTCCACCTGACACACAGATGGCATGCAGCATGACACACGCGACAACACATCATGATCCACACACACACACACACACGCACACATCAGCTGAGTGCGTCGACCACCGCCCGAGCGGACTGACCGACCAGTGTCCTGCAGATGCCCTTGATGTCGAAGCTCCTGTCGCCCTCGACCGTCTGACGCCGCATCTCCTGCACACAACACGTACAGACACACGTGTGCCTTCCTGCCTGCTTGTTGATTGGTTCAGCCATCCACTCCACCATGCAGCCCCCCGACTCACCCACCCACCTTTTGGACGAGGTCGTGTGTCATGGCCATGGCCTCCTCGGCTACCAAACAAGTCCAAAAGCCGTCACATCCCAACAGTAGAAACTCATCCTATAGGCACATACGCACACACACACAGAGAGAAGGGTCATGGGAAGTCTGGCTTGCGTGTGTGTGTGTGTGCGTGTGACCTCTGCTGGGCTTATGGTGCACTTCTGAAAGGTCGGCGTGCAGAGGACGCCGTATTTCTTGAGGCTGATGTCGCCGAAGGACCTCGTGACCTCTAGCGCACCGTTCACCCGGCCGTTCTCGATCTGCACACAGACAGGCACAAGGTCTCAGGACTCTCTGTGAGTGTGGATTGGTATGGTGTTGGGGTGCCGTGTGTGCATCTCACCGACCGTTCCTCCCGTCTTGATGATCCTGTCTTTCTCGGCAATCACCCATGGCTTGTGCGCTTCCGTCAGGGGAATCGCTGACACACGTCCAACACGCACACACCATTAGAATCTCTCCCTCTCTCTCTCTCTCTCTCTCCTCTCACCATGAGTCTTTGAGAGAGATGCCTTGCGTCTGCCAAGGAATGCGCCTGAGTCGCCCAGGTTGGCGATGTAGCACTTGTCCTGAAAGAGCAGCACCACAACCGCCGTGCAGCCATCTGCACACACACACAAAGACAGCCAGAGATGGACAAGTGTATGCGTGTGTTGTGGGGGCTGGTTGCGGGCGTGTTGAGTTGTGTTGAGTTGAGTTGAGTTGTGTTGAGTTGTGTTGTGTAGTTGACCGCACCGACCTCTGCATGAGGGGATATCGGTAGCAATGCGGCCATCAAGCTTGGAGAAGGCGCTCTTGACGACCTGCGACGCGACGCGGGCGGGACAATACACCACACCACACACACCACACCACACCACCCACAGCCATCCACACACACACACACATCCCACCTATGCGCCCACACACCTTTTTGATCTCTTTGTCGCCGAGTGGTGCATCGTCCACCATCGGCCTGGCCTCCTCCTTTCCTTCTCCCTCTCCCTCCGCGCCACCAACCGTCAGAGCCGCCACTTGAGCAGCCAGCTGCACACACACACAGAAATGTCCACATGCACACACACACACACACCATGGTGCTCTCTGATCCTCTTCGTTCTGACTGACTTCCGTGGGCAGGTTGTCGCGTATGAATGTGGCCGACTGCCGCCCGCCGTGGCCATCGAACACACCAAACACCCTGATGCACCCACCAGCGAGCAGGGAGGGATGAGCCAGGTGAGCAGAGGGGGGCGGTGCACAGCAGGTGGCTGGGTGTGGCCGTGTTTGCTATGTATGTCTGTCTGTTACGCACGCGCAATCGTGTATGGGTTTGATGGCAGGGTTGACGGCCCGGAGGCTGAGGCAGATGAGGTGCTCGTCCTCCATCTGCTTCCGCACGCCCTTCTCACCTGCATGACACACACGCACACACACACACAGCACCACACAAGAACGATGCATGGATCCTGTATGGCCCATCGTCGACTGCCTGGCTCATTCATGCACCATACCATATGCGTCTGCAAGGATGGTGAAGCCGCCTGCAGGCGCAGACACACAGCAGAGAGAGAACCCATCACAGATCTATGCGTAGATAAACCACTGTGTCTGTCAATCTTCCTCCAGTGCATTGCCTGGCTCCTGGCTCACTGACTTAATGGCGGGAGTGTGTGTGCTTCTGGCGTGTCGGTGGGCGGCACTGCCACCCTCTTGACCGCTCGTGAGTCAGCGGCAGGTAATGATGCCGCGGCAGCTGATCGCTTCCCCGTCACAACCTCCATCCTGGAATGAACTGCCAAAGATCTGGTTGGTTGGTTGGTTATTGATCTGACCTCCCCGTCTGCAAGCCAAGCTCGCACTCGAGGGAAGGCCCCGTTGAAAGGAGAGCTACGGGAGTTTTGCGCAGTTCCATGATGCGCTACCTCTATCGGAGTCAGCCGTACCAGCGGCTTACATCGCCTGTCGCTCCAACTGTTGTTCGAGTCACCCGATGGCTCATTTCAGCCCTGCGGACAATTCGGCTGTTCCTCTGGGACTACCGATACTTCGTCCTGCTGGGCGCGCTGCTGCTGCTCATTCTGTGGACCGTCAGCGCTCTGCTGTCTTTGTGCCTGGGCAGGTGGCTGTCGCGTGTGACGCTGCTGTCTGGGCTTTATGTCCTGTTCCGCTACATTATGAGAGTGGTCATATTTCCGGGCTCGTCGTTCCTGGTAGGCACACACATGTGTGTGTGATGGATGCTGTGTGGTGGGACTGAATGAGCATCTATCTGTCTGAGTGTGCTGGTGCAGTGGAAGCGCGGGACTGAGGCGCAGTTCCGTGTTGAGATTGCCAAGCTCTACTGCACGCACATCGGGCACTTCAGAGGCCTCCTCACCGACCTCATCGCCCGCTCTGAAGGCGGTCCGCTGACCGCCAGCAGTGCTGACTTCGACATAGTGACGGCCCTCTCAGGGATGGACCTGCTCAACAACCTTCTCCGCTTCCTGTCATTCTCCGACGCGAGCGGCAGCATCGACCCGCTGCCCAAGCAGCACAAGGCCTTCCACGAGAGGGTGCAGCTGCTGACAGACAACCTCGACCGCATCAATGTCACAGACGCGTCGGCGTCGGCCGATAGTGGCTATCGGCCGCTCTCCCACTCGCTGCACGAGTATCGGGAGGGCCTCCCTCTGTTCCCTGGCATGATGCGTACCGACCTCTCGCGCCTTAACCCGCCGGCATTCACAGTCAGCGACCCGGCTCAGCTGCCGTTCGCCCGTGACACGCTCGCCGTGTTGGATGAGATCATCGACACGTTGACACCGCTGAAGGAGCGGTTTCTCGACACGATTAGCGTGGAGGGTTCGTCATCTGCTGCTGCAGCTGGGGACTCGCAGGCACAGAGGGAGAGATGGCTGGAGGGCGTCAAGAAGACGTTGCTGCGGTGTCATGTGGCTGCGAGTCGGTTCCTGACTGAGCCCCCTGTCGGTTCACTGCGGCAGATGAGAGCCGACCTCGTGCACAGATATGAAGGTGCGCTGGTCTGTCTGGTTGAGTTGACTGAAGAAGACAGACGATCTGACGTCACTCAACCCTCGCTCTCCTTACTTACCTTACCTGTGTTGTGTGCCAGGGGAGCAGATATTCTTCACCGCGTCTGACGGCACCCGTCTGGACGGCGTGTACCTGCCACAGCCGTCCGAGGCCGAGGCGCGCAGGCGGCTCCGCAGCGGAATGCTGTCCCGGAATGAGGTCGAGTGGGGCCCCACGGTCGTCTTCGCCAACCCCAACGCAGGCTACTACGAAGTGTCGCTCTTCCAGGACGAGTGGGTGCGGTTCTACCACCAGCAGTACGCCACACACACACGCACCGGAGAAAGCCAGCAATCAGAGCACTTTCTGTCTCTGTCTCTTCTCTCTGTGTAGCGGCTTGTCGGTCGTTCTCTTCAACTACCGCGGCTTCGGTCGGTCGCAGGGCGCCCCCTCCCCCGCCACGTGTGCCGTTGATTGCGAGGCGGTGGTGGCGCACGTGGTGCAGAACGGGGTCAAGCACATTGGGGTCCACGGCCGGTCCATCGGCGGCATCTGCGCCTGCCACATGGCGGCCAAGTCGACCACAGGGCAGTTGCCGCAGGTCAAGTTTGTGTGCGTCGACAGGAGCTTCTCGTCACTCGCGTCGACTGCGCACTTTGCAGTGAGGGAGGGAGGACGGCAGCCAGATGGAACGACGGGAGTGCGTGTGTGTGTGGACGGGTGTTTGGTTTGGTTTGGTTTGTGTCAGTTTGGTCCATGGGCGAGATGTGCACTGCGCGTGGGGTTCACCGGAGCTGCCAACGTCAAAAACTATCTCACCGGCAGGTGAGGTGGCCTCACCCCCACCCCCACCCCCCTGACTCGCTCACCAACACAACACCCTCTCCTCGTTTCTCTCTTTCAGGTGCACCAAAGTCATTATCTCCGACTGCAACGACCAGATCATCCCCGAGCTGGCAGCGATTAAGACGGGCGTCTCCATCGCTCTCTGTCAGCTCAATGAACACGAGGAGGGGCCCCACCGCCAGGAGCACGACCAGGGGGAGGGCGAGGGCGCCTCTGGAGCGGTCCGACGGATCTGCTCGTCCGACATGTGTCGGGGCATGGCGTGCCCTCGGAGGGATGAGGGGGTGGATCTGAACGAGTGCGAGGCCATCGCCATTGCCGAGAGCGAACGACTCAAGGTGAGATGGACGTGGTGGCGAGAATGCAGGGGAGAAGGGAATGAAACGTCAACATGTGTGTGTGTTTGTGGGTCGGCGGATGGGGGAATGGGTGGATTGTGCAGCTGCCGTGGTCCACTCTGATGGATGTGGTGGAGTCCTGGGAATTCCTCAGCGAGCTGCTCGCCATATGCGACGCCGAAGACTCCCACCCAGCCACACCCGTACGCACACCAGACACTCCACCCACGAGACGACACACGCTCAGCTCACACCTCTCCTTCTCCCCTCCCTCCCTCCCTCCCTCTCTGTCTGTCTGTCTGTGTCATCAGAGTGGCTGGTCCGCCCGCACAACCATCTTCAAGAAGAAGATCACGAGCGAAATCGCCACAAGACGGCTGACAGAGACAACGGCGACAGCAGCCACAGGCAGTGCCGCCAGAGACATCTCCCCCGCCAACCACCGCCACAAGCCGCACTCCTCCCCTGGGAGCGGCAGCGAAGGGCACTCCTACGCCCTACTGAGCAGCTCTGATGGCGATGACTCATCCACAAGTGAAGGCGCACCCAGCAAGAGCGAAAGCTCTGACGTGGAAATGGGTGCTGGTGGCGAGAGGGGGGCGGGAGTGGGCGATGAGGACGGCAGCGCGGCTGTCGACTGGGATGCCGTGATTAGGGACACCATCGGGCCTTTCGCTGATTCGATCCACCAGACGATGGACGTGCTAGGCAAGGGGCTCAATGCGGGCGGCCAGCTGTTTGACGAGGCCATCACGTCGGCCAGAAAACCCAAAGACAAGTACAACACACGAAAGAGAGAGAGAGAGAGAGAGAGACGTTTCCATCTGAGTGTCCTGTTGTCTCTGGTCGATGTATGTGTATCAGGGTGTTTGCCCTCCGGTGCTTTCTGGCCAACCTGCAAGTGTGGGGGAGCGTCATGAGCCGGTCGGGAGACATAATCCCCGACCACGCCTGCCCCTTCGACGCAGATGCCATGGAGATCGACGACATCACGGCGGTCGGACCGAGGCCGCCCCCGCCCACCAATGCCAACCCCAGCAACCCCCACCCCCCTTCCACCGTCGATGGGCTGCGCCACCATTCTCTCATCGACAGCGAGGCGGTTGATGGCGTCACTAGCAATAGGGCACATCGGGTGGCTCAGCTCATGCGGTCAGAAAAGAGGCCGAGAGACTAGGGTCGTGGCACGTTCCATGTGTGTTGTTCTTGTGTTTTGTGTGTTTGCAGCCGTCGGTCGCGGTGTCTGACGTACTTAATCCGTCGTGAGTTCAAGCAGCGATCCAAGAGGCTGAGGGAGCAGATGATGTCCCCACCGGCCGGAGGCAGCACCGTCCACCCCCTGCTGCAGAAGGTGCGACCGAACGCCACGCACACACGGAACAACGCCGTCATTCTCGCATTCATTCTCGCTGCCTTTCTCAGGTCTTGTCCGACCTGACAGTGTTAGACGACTTCATCTCCGCCCTGTGCCGCTTCTTCAAGCTGGTCGACCTGCCCAAGGCCACCCAACCGCCGGCATCGTCATCGGTCGACACGCCCTCTCCCTGCTACTCGCCCCCCTTCCCACACACATACGGGCGAGCCTCACAACCACCACCACCACCACCACGGGCGGCGAGGCCGTCCCAGGGATGCAGATGCCTGATGGAGGCCCAGGGCATCGACCAGGACATCAGCAGAACAACCAGCACCACCACCAGCAGCAGCAGAGCCGCCGGCACGTGTGGGATGGCCAGTGCGGGCATGGCAGGCGAGCTGACGGAGGCGGAAATGACGCCGCAGATCGACCCCAGGTGGGTGCGGCTGGCAAGAGGCAACAAGTGGAGGGACAGGGATCTTAAGGGTGGCTGTTCCTGTGTGTGTGTGTGTGTGAGTGTCAGGGTGACGGGCTATCTGCTGCCGGTGACGTGTGGGCACAATGGTGTGCTTAACCGAGGGGAACTAGACAGTTTGGGCTTCTATCTGCAGCAGTCGTCTCTTGCCCACGCAGCGCACAGCCGCCAGGCTGACCTCGAGGGCGTGCTGCAGGGGCCGAGGAGGCTCCTGATGCAGCACAGGTAGAGACACGTGGATGGATGGATGGATGGATGGAAAGCAGCTTTGTAGTTGTCAATCAGATGGTAGATTTATGTGTGTGTTTGACTAAGACGGGCGGCTGGCTGGCTGAGTGATCAAGTGATTCTCGTCCCACACCCGTCCACCTGCAGTGCACATTTCATCTGAATGGTCGGCCGACCCGATCACTCACACGCACATCAGTCTATTACCATGGCCGGCTATCGCGCCAAAGGCAAAGCAGGATCTCCTCCAAACACACGGACAGTAGAAATGGACGACTGTGTGTAAGAAACCAGGGAGGGTGTCACGGGACCATTTTGGTCCAGTCTGACAGAGAAATTAAACCGCACGGACCGACTCATTCACTATGCATCACTCACTAGTAGGCGTAAACGATCGACACATGCAGTGAACACCAGTCGAGCTCCCCTTCTGTGTGTATCTATGTGTGTGTGTGTATGCCCGCCATGTCTCTCTGGCCCAAAAACCAACACAGAGTTTTCAGATTCTGAAAGCTCTCTGTCTCGGTTCCGGAGACTCACCCGGCATTAGCACCCACTCACTACTGTGTCACTCACCCACCCGATGACTCGGCATCACTCACTAGGCAACAACAGCCGAGCTCCTCCACTCTCTTTGTATGGGACACGGAGCGCGCGCGCTCTCTCTCTATGTCCTACCGAATCGACAGACAGTTCTCATCTGAAAAGTGCCTGTCGACTCGAAAACTATGTGTTGTCTCACTCAAATAAACCGCTCTGTGCACTGACCGTCTCACTGCCCACTCACCCACAGCCATCCATCAAGCATAAATGCCCCTCAACCGCCACTAAGATCAGTCAGTTGGTTTGAAATTCAGCCAGAAGAGAGCGTTCACGGCACCATCGTCCTTGCCATCGTCACCCAGCACCATCGCCGTCGCTACGAGGTCTTCGCCGGGAGACAACACACCGGATACGGTCGTCTCGACAGACAGGACGGAAGAGGGCGGCAGCGCCGCCCCATAGAGCGTCCGTTGACTCTGCTCGACCACCACCTTCACCGGCACCGGCAGAATGTTCTTGACTTCGAAGGAAAACTCGCCTGTCTCACGATCCTGCTTGAACATCTGGAAGACAGTGCTGGCTTCGTTGGTTGGAGGGTCGCTCGGAATGGGAGCGTTGTTGGTGAAGGTCTGCTCCAGCAGCCGCTCCCCATCCTGTGTGCGCGCAGACACAACACACACAAGAGGCGAATGTGGGGCGAATGCGCGTATGGCCCATGTTGCCTGCACATTGCAATACCTGTGTCTCAATGACGAGGGTCACCGAGGCGAACGCGGGCACAGGCACGGTGAACCCGGGCGAGTCTTCTGGCGCGATGCTCGTTTCGCTCTCGATGCTCGCGTCAGCGCCCAAGAACACCTGATAATCCACAGGCCGCCCCGCCTCGTCCACAAACCGCACCACAACCTCCTCGCCCTCGCTGTCGGCAAACCCGTTCCCAATCTCTATCGTCAATGCAGCCTCACTGACCCCGTCGCTGTTATCGGGATCTGGCTCTTCTGGCGAGGTGGGGCAGAGAAAGGCGAAGTCCACCGGCGGACCGCGAAGAAATGGCGAGTCGCATGATAAGAAGAAACCGCCCACTCTGTTGGGCGGGTCAGCGTCGCGGGGAATGTTGGAGAGGCTGATGATGTTGGAGGGCTCGCCTGCCGAGCGGCCAATGAGACAGCCCAGGACGCACAGGGCGACAACGAAGGCTGGAGAGCGCCTCATTCGCGTGTCTTTCTTTCCCTGACCAGCCGGGACATCCACACAGAAAAGTCTTCACAGGGAACCCTCTCAAGAATCGATCGTACACGATTTGTCAGGTCCAGTGAAAGGGTACCCTCTGAAAGTCGGCGCCTCGAGCTGCCGTCGTCGTCGGGGTCGCGGGGGATCCTTTTCTGGCTCTGAACGGGCTCGTTCGTGGCTTCTGTCGCCTCTGCAAGCATCACAGGTATTCACGCAAGCAGTTGCATACCCGAACAACCCATGTGGTCGTGTGGCGGATGACCTCCTGAGTGTGAAGGAAGGGAGACCCACAAGCCGCCACAAGCTGGCATCCAGGTAAGGTTGCCATCCACTGCACGCCCAAACGTGCCAACCTTACCGAAGGGATCGAAAAGGCGTTGTCAGGCGTCGTCGCGCTCCCAACGAGGGAATCCCAAGTACGGAGTATGTAAATTTGTAAACTTGTCAAAACCGCGTCGCACAGGCGTCCGTCACCCTCACATTGTCCGGTGATTCAATAACCATTCACATTGTCCGGTGAATGCATTAACATCAAATATAAACACGATGGATTAACCACTGCCTCGTGTGAGGCCCGTCGCCTCAGCACCCACACATGGACACGGACACAACTCACAGAAGAGCTCGCCGGCAGCCCACCTACATGTATCTCACACCACCAATACAGCCAACGGAAGCCCAGGGCCAGAAACACCACACAACACCAACAGACAAAGGAATCTGAAGTGCAGCAGCACCATCCTGTCTGCCACCCTGTGGTACACCACAGAAAAATGACAATCTCCCTCTCTCCCTCTCCCTCTCTCTCTTTCTCAACAGCCCCAGCCACACGCCCACATGTCTCTCTCTCTCTCTCTCTCTCTCTCTGATCGATATGCATGAAGGCATTAGGAGACTATCATGGCGTCCCTAAGGCGCTTCAGCGTTCTCTTCAAGGGTTGGGTGCTGATCGAGTACTTGCCGCTGAAGGGGTCAGTGAGGTCCTCCAGCAAAATGCCCAGCCACATGAAGGCGCCCACCAGCAGCGAGAAGGCCAGACGGGGCAGCAGCCGCAGCAGGGGGTTGCTCGACGCTGACATGCAATGCGACAGAAGAGAGTACCAATGGGACGCCATGGAAGGGTGCGTGTGTGTCTGTGTGTGTGTGTGGTCACCCACCCTTGAGTGAGTCGAATATGAATGCGACGAGCTGCGAGATTCCCAGGAAGGCCAGCAGAAGGTAATGCTCGGCCGGGAAGCCGGTCTGCACGGCGACGACCTTTGCGCCCCTCGTGTGACGCAGCTGCGTCAACAGACCTGCAGTTCAAACAAATCGCAATGGCAGTGGTTGGATGGATGGATGGATGTATGGATGGATGGTGTCGATGCCAACCGACCGACCTTGTATGTAGAAGACCTGGTTGAATGCTTGGGACGTACCTAGGGTCCTGTAGTTTTCGGACGACCGGATCTCGGCATCAGTGACCTGCACACAACACAGCCAGCCACTCAGACATGTCATGCACTGACAGGAAGCACCATGACCATCTCTCCCTCCGAATGGATGGACGGACGGATGCTTGCATACCGACCTCGTCCACGACATCAATGAGGTCCGACAGACTCTCGATGGCCTCCTTGCCCGAATCATACACTGACCAATTAATTAATGCATTCCTTATCGATCCACAGGTGGGTGCTATGCTCACACCATCCATCCCATCAGTCCCTGCCGTAGCTCACCCTCATCTTTCTCCTCAGTCTCGTCCTTTATCCTCTCAGGCAAGCTCGTGATGATGGTGCTGAAGCTGCTGACCAGAGGGCTCTTGGCGTCCCACCACTGCCGGCGCGTCTGGCAGCCTCTCGTCGTCGCCTCGCCCGCCACACTCCATGTGTAACGCCACAGGGCCCGGAAGGCGCGCCGCCTGCGAATTGGGTCGTCTTGGAAGAGCTTCTTGAGAGCCTTCTCGAGCAGGTCAATGAGGGAGATCTCTTCCTGCAAACACAGACAAACCGGCAGACAGACAGACCGACAGACAGACAGACATACGAATCAGCATGCGGGTGTGCGTAGTGGCTGACTGGCCTGTAGGATCCGTCTGATGTCCAGCTGCCTCTGCTGCAGCGTGCCGATGGTCAGCGCAGTCAGTGTGCCGAGCAACAAACCTGTACTCGGGAGAAACACCTGCACACACAACACACTCACACATGACATGGCCGGTACTCATGCCGCATTCTCCCATCTGCCTATTCTGGCGGCCCATCTGATCTGGCCCATCTGTGTTTATCGGCAAGAAAGAGGGAGGGCAGTCTGTCTGTCTGTCTCTGCGTGTCTGTCTAGCATGAATGAAGAGACGCACACGCACACACTTGGCCGCACTTTGCCAAAAGTCTCCGTCGGAGCGTCCTTGAGCTTTGCCGCACCGAACTCCAGGACAGCAATGGCGGAGCTCACGATGGAAGGAAAGGCCATGTACACGCTGTACGACACGATGCCAGGAATGACCGGCATCGTCGTGAACATCCACCGGCAGAAAGCCCGGAATCTCCACCTCGGGACAACACCAATCGAGCCGAGCGAGAAGGGCAGCCGCCACCGATAGAAGCCGCTTGTGGGTGTGGGAGGGACCAGGTCACCATAGTTGTCGTGCTGGCCCTCAGTGGGCAGGACCTCTGTGCCGCCTTCTGAAGCCGCAATGTCAGCCACATCTGCCGGCTGGATCAGTGTGACCGAATGCAGCCGCGGACTGGCTGATGCAACTCGCCTCGACGACTTGAACACAGGGACAGGCCGTTGAGCAGTGAAAGCCGTCGAGTGCCCCAGACACAATGCAGAGCCCAGAGAGAGAAAAATTGCTGAAATAGTTGCTTGCCGGGCTGGCATCACGAGCACGATGAGCGATGAATGACGTGCTCGCACAGAACAGTATGTAGCCACGGAGGGCAGATCTGTCAAGTGTTGCTGCACTGCTTTTCATTCATGGTGAGAGAAAGTGGCTGCGGCCTTCTGCTCACTTCTGCTCCCCTTTTCCTTTCTCGTCCGTCTGCCCAGAAATTTGAGCTCGCACCCGAAGGCTCAAGAGAAGGGGGTGCGACTTCCCATTCCGCGACCCTTTGCCTGTGCTGATCTATCGCTTGCCCATCACTAGCATGGCGTCCACCTCCTATGGCCCTCGCGCTTCCCTGCCGCCTCTCCAGCCAAACCCAATGGCTGATGTATCGCTCTTCAGACGCGGCAGACGGGTGCTGATGAGCCTCGCGCTGCTCGCATGGGCGGCGTTCATCTTCGGCAGCCACTTCATCGTGTGGGTCTTTCCTCTCGCCTTGATCATGATTTTCTTCTGGGATAAGCCCTTCCACAAACTGATCATCAAGGTTGGCACCACGTGGTCTCGCTCGCTGACGCACTTCGGCTTCCTGAGGATATACGCGACCATCGACCCGGCAGTGTACGCGGCGGTGCGCAAGGCCAAGGTGAGGATAGTGGTGTCGAACCATCGGGCGGAGCTGGACCTGGTGAGCCTCCCGGCGCTTATCGGCGTTCTGGACCCCGCTCGGTGCGGGGAGCAGTTCGCCATAGCCAACAACGTTCTTGTCGAAAGGGTGAGCTGCTGCACACGACCATTCATCGACAGGCAGACGTCACGCCGATCCCTCTTTTCCTGTGTGTGTATGTGTGTGTGTGTGTGTGTGTGCTGACATCAGGTGCCTGTAGTGGGTTGGTCGTTTCACTTTGGCGGCATGCTGTCCATCTTTTACAACCAGAAGGAGCGCAACGCACGGACACTAGACAAGGTCAGGACAGAGAGACAGACAGACAGACAGACAGACAAGCAGCACACATGAGGCAACTCACACACCCCTCCCTCCTCTCTCTCTCTCTCTCTCTCTCTCTGTGTGTGTGTGTGTGTGTCAGGTGGTCGATTTGCTGACCAACGGCCCTAAGTCGTGGTTTTTTTTCTTCCCAGAGGGCAACACCTGGTCGAGCAACAAAGCGAAGAGGGGCCAGCAGCTTTTCGAGGAGCAGATAGCCATCGACCAGACTGAAAGCAGCCCGGCGACCGCTGCCAGTGCCGACACGACGACCGACAGTGGCGAGGCGAGCGCACGTGACGGGGGTGGCGATGGGGATGGTGAGAATGTGCCCAATTTGCTGCCGTTGTATTGGGGCTGCTATGACCGGCTGCGCGGGAGCCTGCCTGTGTCAGATGATGTCTGCTGGTGGGCGAGAGGGTCATGGAAGGGATGGGAACCGCCACACATGGCATTCACTGCTGGTTCGGTTCCTTTCTCCCTCCGTCTGTGTGTCACTCAGGTTGGACGTGACGAGCGCCACGCCCGATGTGCCGAACCGTCTGACCTACAACTGGCGGCCACCGTACACGCTGCTGGGCCATCCAGCCTACCCTGACTACCTCATCATGAATGTCAGGTGCGTCCGCGCGCTCACACAGACGGATGCATTTATTCCCCTTAATTAATTGTGTCGGTTCAATCGTACAGGTTGATGAGTGCGTCTGATGTGTCTAGCCACGAGTCTCTGCAGCGTGTGTGGGCGCGCAAGAGCCGGTATCTCGATCAGCTGGCCGCTGGTGTGTTCCACCAGCCCAACGAGGACAGCTATGACCACAAGTGGATCCGACTCAGAGCCAGGTGCGTCCCGTCCGCAAACCAAACCAGGACACGCCATCCTCTGACTGATCCATTCATTCACTGTGTGTGTCAACTCTGTCGTGTGTTGTGTGCAGTTTCTGGAGCTGGTGGACGGTGTGGGGTCTGTTGATCCCGTCCCTCTTGCTGCTGTCGTTTGTGCTGTGGCCGGTGCAGACGCTGCTCTACTCGTGTGCCATGAACGCCCTCCTGCTGACGTGTGCGTGGCAGTACATCCCCTTCTACACGCCCCCGCAGCCAGAGGACGGCATGGTGGGGTCGGCCAACTCGTCCCCCAAGCTCCTCAAGCACGTGTCGTCGGCCATGTCCGACGCGTCCACCGGCGGCTGAATGAATCATAGAGACAGCTGGAGGGACGTGTTTGTCGATATCCGTAAGTCAGTCAGTGTGTTAGCAAGCAATGCTGGCCGGCTGGCTGTCGTGTGTCGGCTGGCCTTGCCCACCTTGATGTGTGCGTGTGCGTACCTGCGTGCAGTTTTTGTTGTGTGTTTCCCTCCTCCTTCCAGTAACCGTTACCCCAATTTTTCCCTGCCTGCTTGGTCGGTTGTCTTTTTCCTGTGGTCAGTCAGTCAGTCGCGTGTGTATGATCGATGAATGCATGTAATTGAGATATATAGTGATCAAGCGTGTTAGGTAGGACGTCCGGTCAGTTCGGTGTGTGTGTCTAGGAGTGAGTGATGGGGCTATTTCGGTGGAGTTGAGGGAGGTTGTTTGTATTGTGTGCGTAGCCTCTAATTGACCGAACTGACCCTGCGTGTTGTGGGTTGATATCAATCTCGCACGAAAGTCGTGTCAATTCCTCGCTGGCTGACTTCAATGCGCTCACGTGACTCATTGAATGGTCATTGATTGATTCATCCAATCATCGGCCGTGCTGCGTTATGTGTTCGTGTCCCTCTCATTGTCCGTCGGTCGGTCTGTCAGTGGCCCTCACTCTCACTCTCAGTCATCATTGCATCTGTGGAATGTCGAGGGGCCGCATGAAGGTCGACGCGGCCTCCATCAACTCACGCTGACGCAAGATGGACATCACACCGATGAGAACACATCACACAGACATGCCATGTGTGTCTGTGTGTGCACCACCTCGAGTTGTCTGATGGTCTTCATTTTGGCCTCGTCCTTTGCCCTCTTCTCAGCTTCGATCTCACCCAAACGAATCTGTCGACACACACACAGAGACATGGGGAGTCGGTGTGTTTCGTGTGTTGTGTGTTGTGATGGTCTGTGTGACCTCTCGTTGCTCTGTTTTGATTTGCTGTTGTGTCATTGGGATGGGCGGCGGCAGACTTTTGACGCGGGCCAACTGGGAACGCAAGTAGCGGTCCTCACCTGACCACACACGAGACACACACATGCAGCAGATGTGTCAGGGTGATCTGTGATGTGTGTGTGTGTGTACGTCTGTTGCAGTTTTCCTCGAGTTCGCTCTCCTCTGCGTCGGACACGCCACTCTACACAAAGACACACACAATCACAGAGACACCGATGGATGGTCTGTGTTTGTCTGTGTGTCTCTTTCATACGATTGTCTGTCGAGTGCGGGCCTCTTCCTCTCGGTCGTCGCGCAGCGCCTCGCGCAGCCCATCGGCCTACAAAGACAAAGACATGTATGTCACACACAGAGAGACACACAACCAGAGAGTCAGCGTCTCTGAGTGTCTGTCTGCCGTTGATCCACACGCATGAGCTGACGTGAATTTTGTCGAGGACGTCCTCATCGTCATTGTGATTGTTGCCTTTGTGTGTGGTCGGTGTGAGTGCCTCTCCTTCTCCGGCCAGCAGACCGCCGCACACAAACAGCAGCAGCAAAGCCACACCCGAGGCAGTCACGCAACGCATCTTGATCATGTCGCTGGCGATGGCTGGCCAATGGATTGATCTCGTCTCTCTAGATGAGACAGAGAGACAGAGAGACGAGGACTGTTGTTTGTGATTGTGGTAAGGCGGCGATCTGCATCTCGACATATATATGTATAGGTGCGATTGCAATACGTTCACATGTACACCCACACATCCAGCCATCTCTTTCGGGTCATTCACTGGCTAGATAATTACTCTGCCTGACTCCCCTGCTCCCATCCGGGCGTGCCTCTTTGTCTCTCGATACTACCTTGTGCGAGAATTCCCCCCACACCTACCACTCACCCAGCCAGGCCCGCGCGGACGGACGCCGAAAAACGAAGCTACGTCCAGCCACACCAAACACCAAATACAAACACCCACAAACAAAGGACGACGGTGTCTGTGAGAGGGCGACGTCCCACGCCGTCCTCTCACAGACACGGTCGATTGATTGCATGTACGTCCAATGCATCCATCCTCTGTCGACGCCACGCACTGCACGGCACGGCACCCGTACATGCATAAGCACGTGAGACAGTACGTGAACTAGCTTACAAAAGGTGTGGGTGGTGGACGGGTGGGGTGAGGAACGGAGGGCCCCAGTCAATCGCACCAGCATATTTTGATAGTGCTTTCGGCGGCTGGCCCACTTGCGCCCCTCGTATGGGCATGACTTATCGGACGGCAACGGACAAACAGGTGCAGAGGCAGCAACAAGACAGACAGACAGACAGACACTCTCTCTCTCTCTCTCTGAAAGGCCACAGACAAAACACCACAGCAGCACAACAGCACAGCGCTCCCAAGCCCGCTTTGTCAACTTCCCTCCATCCATCGTATGCAGAGTGAAAATCCATCAAGCCCCCCAAAACACGAACATCCAGCGATCAGTACATGTAGCAAAAGCCAGGGAAGGAGAGAGCCACGAGGGCCGCTGACATGACGCAAAGACAGACAGACAGGCGAGGCGAGGTGAGGCGAGGCGAGGTGCGAGCAGTGGACTGAACGAGATGGCAGTCGATTGAGGCCTCCTCTGCTCCACTCACCCAGCCAAGAGAAGCGAGCGACACCACCTTACGACGCACCAAGACACCCACAAGACAGGGACGCAGATGGATGGGGAAATAACCCTCTCTCTGATGTACTTACAGTCCGTCCCCATCCCCATTCATTCATCTCCTATACTGTGTCCCCGCCACAGAGACGGCCAGTGACCGGTAGCTGCTGCTGGACATCCCTTGCTGGCGGGCGAGCGGCGAGCGGTGCCCTGCAAAGTCAGAAGTAGGTATCAATCAGATATCGGCTGTAGTCCATGGAAGTCCCGACGGTGTCGTAGTTGAGCAGCCCGCCTGTCCAGTAGGTCTTCTTCTTCCCCTGCAGCGCCTCCAGCCGCTGGTAAAAGCCCGCCCGGAGCTCTTCGCCACTCACGTGGGGAAACTGCACGCAGGAAGCACACAAGGTATGGACAAGTGATGGGGTCCCTCTCCCCTTGACAACTCACGTAGGTCCAGAAGTTGACTTCGGTCAAGTTGGCCTCGTACTCTTTCGAATCCCCGTTGAAGAAGATGTCCGTCATGATCTGCGCGCTGTCCTGCTTCAGCGTGTCGTTGAAGGGCTGCTGCTGCCGATCGTAACTCTGGTAGACAATGAGGCCGGCTCCTGGCTCCGCACGGTAAATTGAGGCGATCAACGCCGGGTGGCCTGCACCGACAACTGATCGAAGAGCGGGAGGCTGGACAGACGTATCGAGATTGCCCAAGAACTGGGAGCTCTTCGGGTCGGGCATGTGCTCGTACGATAAGTCCACGAGTGTGGAGACATACGGGGCGTGGTACACCTTCCCGAAGACATCGCTCTCCTCCTCGTCCAAGCCCAAAAACTGCATGTCCGCCGTGATCTGAGGAAACGCCACGATGATCCGGTCGCACGTCCTTTCAGTGCCATCGGACAGCTTGATTAGCGACGGCTGATCGGACTCTCGCACAGTGTTCACGATTTCCGCACTGAGCATGACCTCTAGCTTTCCCTTGGCAGACAGCGTGTCCACTATGGCCTTCAGCAGCAATGAACAGCCTCCCACTAGTCTTTGAAAAGTGCCGGTCAAACCCTCAAATATGAAAGTTGGCGTCAGACCCTTCAACCAGTACGCCATCGGAGTGAAATCGCCAGAAAGATAGCCGTAGGCTGCCGGTAAGTAGAAGACAGTCTGGAAGAACTCTATGTGCTCCGGACCGAGGCCGCGCTCCGTGAAGCGGTCTGCGATGAACTTGTTGGCCGGACCCGCAAGCTCGGGGTAGCGGTCGAAGTCGGTGGATGTAAGAGTGGGCTCGTAGGCGAGAGGTCGCTTTGGATCCGGCTCGCCAGTCTCCTCATCGATGGCGACGTAACTTTTCCAGACGTCCACATACGCCAATATGCTGGTGACGCCCACAATGATCTCCTGCAGGTCCTCGATGCTGTTGAGCTCGAAGAGGCTCCCGATGTTGGGGAGCGAGAGTGAAGTTTTGAACGGCTCCTTGGCGTTGAAGTCGACGAAGGAAATATCCGGCGACCCGAGCACGATCAGTTCGAAGGTCTGACCGTAGATGTCGGCGAGTTCACGGACCTCTTTGAAGCCCCGAGGCATGAGGATGGCACCGAGGTTGTAGGTGCGGTTGACGAATTCGCCGTTGGCACTGTCCACTCGCTCGATATCCCTGCACTTGCCGCCGATTCTGTCCAGTTTTTCCAGCAGTAGGATGTTGGAGTAGCCTTTCTGCACAAGGTGGTGAGCCGCACCCACGCCGCTGGGTCCCGCGCCGATGATACAGACCTCATGGTCAGCTGGGAAGGACAAGGCTCAAGAAGGGCGTTGTCAACCTGAGGACACTGAGTGGCTTACCCTTCTCGTTCTGTTCGAGGTTCTGTTTGTCAGTGGGAAGGAAGTCGATTGCTCCGAAGGCAGCGGGTGCAAGGAGGAAGAGGGCCACCCACAACCGACGCATCATATCGTCAAAGGGGGGGGGGGGGGGG